TGGACATGTTGTAAGGAGAGACAGGTCCTTGGAGAGGGCCATCATGCTTGGCAGGGTGGAGGGACAACGCTGGAGGGGAAGGCCCTCTATGAGGTGGATTGATTCAGTGACTGGGATAATCGGGATGGGAGTGTCAGAGACAGTTTAAAGAACAAGGTTATAAGGTTAAAGACCAAGGCTGCATTTTTTTTTAATTGCTTCCTATGCATGTGAAAGTTGGAAAATGAACAAGCGTGAGAGAAGAACTGATGGCTTTGAATTTGGGAAAGACTACTGAAAATCTCATGGGAAGTCAAGAACAAACAAGTCAGCCTGGGACGAAGCACAACCAGGGTTCTCTTTGGAGGCAAGGATCATGACACCTCATCTTATACTTTGGCCATGTGGTCAGGGGCAAGAGTCCCCGGAATAAAGACAGCATGTCCAGAAGAGCAGAGATTGACACAGGCAATGCAGCAATGGCTGTGAACAGGTCAGAGACTGCGGATGGAGCAGGATAAGACAAGGTGTTGATCTGCTGTTCCTAAGGTCATGAGCTGTTGGAACTGACTCAACCGCACCTACAAACAACAATCTTTACATGAGCAGATGGCCGTTGTCTACCATGTCTCCCTGGATGGGTTCAAACAGCCAACCATTTGGTTAACAGCCAAGTTCTTAATCATTGTGCCATCAGTGTTCCCAGAAATAAGAATGACCCTAATTTACAGGAAAGATCTGCTCACATATAATACAAATGCAGACCAACAAGTGTTATTTTGGGCCTTTTTACAGTAACAATGGGTTCATACCCTCCAAATCTCATTCTTAATAAGAGTTTGGCTGCTAAGTCGAAGCCCAGAGGTTCAAATCCACTAGGTACGCCTCATGAACAACGGATCTGACCACCCCCCTAACCTCACATCTCTGACATACTCAAGTCCCTTGCCACAGTCACCATGGCAACACACTTGGTCATCTTCTCTTTCACGGCCCCTCCTCCTTCCCAAGCATGATGTCTCTCTCCAAGGAGCCACCTCTGCGGTGAAGCAGTTCTACTCTGTCCTACAGGGTCACCACCATGGGCAAGAACTAACTTGGCACCAGTGTTTTGGTGATTTGGTGTTGGGTTTATAGGTGAGGGCCTGACATCTTCAGAGGCAGGACCCTCAGCCCTGGGCAACCCAAGATGCTTGGTCACCCTAGACCAGGCATGGGCACCTTAGACCATGCGACTTCAAAAAGGTCTGCAAGTTCTCCTGCACCTAGAAATGTAACAAGAGCCAATACATGCAAAACCTGGAGGGCAGGAACCTCACGCCAGGGGAATCTCAAGAAGATAAAAAACACAGCCTGAAGCCAGAGCATCTCTAATTAAATCCTACTTTGGGCCCAGGCTTGAGATGTCTCATCTGTGAAATGGGCACAGAATCCTATCGTCCTCCAGCATCAGAGCTCTGCAGCATCCCCCAGCTGTGCCCAGTGAAGCCTCAGCAACCAGCACGTCCATTTGCTTTATTCCTGACTCTAATTATCTTCCTGGAAATCTTAAGCATCAGGGTGGAGCTGCTGGATTATAAATCCCACATGGGAGGCCGTTTACTGAGCAGGAAAAAGGGGCGACTTTAGGGGGAAAACCACCCAGACTTGGCTGTGAACCCCTGGTGTGCTGCTTCTCAGTCACGGTGGTCACTCTGAGGGGACAACCTCTGTGTCCAAGTGTCTCCATCTGTAAAGCACGTGTCTGTGGGCCTGGAGGGACCCGGGTCCTGGCTGAGCTGCTGGGTCAAGGGCCACCCAGTGTCCTCACTCACTGAACACGAGCTGTCACCTTCTGGGTTCAGGGGCTGCGGACACGTGGGCACATGAGTGCTGGACACACAGCCTGAGCGCTGGACACACAGCCTGGGCGCTGGACCCCTGGGGCACTCATATGCTGCTGCCCCAAGTCCGGGGTCCTCACCTGGGGTCGGGGTCTCCTCCTCCCCAAGTCCTCCCTCGGGGTGAGGGTCCTGGGGGGTTGGCCCTCATTTGGGCTGGGGTCCTCACCTGGGACCAAGTCGTCCCGTGGCGGGGTCTGGGCTCACCCGGGGATTAGGGTCCCCTCCCTGGGGGTCTGGCCCTCGCTTGGGCCTGGGTCCGCCCTGGGGCCGGGGTCCTCACTTGGGTCAGGGTCTTCCCTGGGATTGGGGTCCTCCCCGGGGTCGGGGTCCCCTCCCGGGGGTCTGGCCCTCAATTGAGCCGGAGTCCCTCCTGGGATCGGGGTCCTCCCTGG